GGGGATGGCGGTGGAGGAAATCGTGAATTGGAGAATAATTTAACCCAGTAAATTGTAATAAATATTTTCCACAAAAATGTATTGACAAAAGTCTCCACATCTTATGTGCACACACAACTGCATGGATTATTTCACATACAATATTCACAAAAGAGAAAACCACAATGCAGTAAAAGTCTTTGGTGTACACACTAATCAGGTATTTATAGGAAAAACCTTTGGTTTAACCTTACATTTGCAGCTGAGCCCTTGGGGGAAGCAGAGTACTGAAGCCCCATGAACTTTACCCAGTCAGGCACTAACTCTGTGGTGCTTCAGCTCACAAACCAGACACGGATAGGTTGTGTGTCAGGCAAGAATCTCACAGAAAGCTTAAACCATCTACATACGTTGGGAAATAAAATGATTCATGTCTTAATTCTGCACCAACTGCATACACTGAATGGGTGTTGCATTGACTGAAGAGTATTGTTCATATCCATGTATATCCCACAGATGGGTAGACTCAACAGCCTTTTTTTATTGCATTTTCTTGCTCACTCAGTAATACCTGCTGCTGACATCTGTTAAATAATTAAAACCTATACATGGATAAACACAGTTCTGTGAGCTTTTGTACCAGAAAATGAAGCCGTAAAACTTTTTAGGAAGTAGGAAAAACAGTCATGTTTCCAGAAAGCAGGTCTGTTACTATCGAATTTATTCTGTTATGTGACCCACTAAGAGACATTTAATCTCTGGTGAGCTGCTTATTGCATTCACATCAAACTCTTCTTTAGGCATGCAAGCTCTTGGTCATAGCAGCCCTGCAGGAAATGCTTATTGTTTTACATGTTTACAAACAGCCTTTTCAGTTCTTAGTCTGCTCTGTCTCCTGAGGTGGTATGTATTGTAATAAATTCACATTATGATGATTTAAACAGCTTTAGAGTGGCATGTTTTAGCGCCTTGATCCAATTGTCTGCTTCTCAAACTGTCAGTTTGCTCACTGCAAATCCCCCATGGTGAAAAGCTGTTCCCCTTACATAAACATTTATAAACATGCTGGAACAGTCGTACTTTTGGGGAAAGGAATTAGTAGCAATGTCATTTAAGCTCATTACCAACAAGATCTTCTCTTGTTAAGATACAAGTAGATTGAGCTATAACATGGTTGTTTTTAATGTGGGACTACTCCAAGATTTTGTTAAGTGGCCAAAAGCCACACTTCTGTGGAGAGGACGTGAGATCTGGAAAGCAGGTGGGGTGTAGAAGGGAGCTTGAGATAGAGGACTGGGGTGCAGGAGGCAATTTGGGGTCTGAAAAGGAGTTTGGATGAAGGAGGTGGTTATAATCTGAGGCAGGGATTTGGGTGCAGGGTTCAGGAGGAGTTATGGGTGTAGAAGAGGATTCCAGCTTGGGGGAGAGATATGGGGGGGGGGAGTGCAGGGTTTGGGAGGAAGTTGTGACCTAGAGGTGGGAAGAGGGGATATAGAGGATTTGGGTGGTGGCCTGGGGCAGGTGATGCTCCTGGCCTGGCCTTCCCAAGCATCTGGGGAAAACAACACTGCCCTACCGTGGTCCCATCTCCCCCTGACAACCAGGCTGCTGGGCTGGGCAGTCTC